CAAAGTATTTATTAATCAGCAAAGAGAAAGCCTCGCTAACAAGTGGTGCTGATAAACTGGACACCTGCAGGTAGAAGAACAATCCTCTCCTCTCACCCTGCAGAGCACTCAACTCCAAATGCACCAAAGACATCAACACAAGACTTGAAACTCTGGATCTGCTAGTGAGAAATTGGGGAAAACACTTCCTGATGCGGGCAGAGCTAAGTACTCTCTGAGGAAGGCTCCATTCATGAAGAAAATGGGACCAATTGACAAATGGGACCACATGAAATTTAAAGAATGCCATCTGGAGATCATTGATGGTGCCCGTGACCATCATGGAGCATGGCAGCAGGCAGGGAGACAAGGTGCTGGAGGAGTAGCTGAGAGCTCACATCCTGATCCACAAGCAGAATTCAGAGAGAGAAGTAGAGACACTAGGAACTGTGTGGGCTTTTGAATTCTCAAAGCCCACCCCCCAGTGACACACCTCCTCCAACAAGGACACACAACAAATCTTCTCCAAATAGTTGCACAGACTGAGGACAAACATTCAAATATAGGAGCTATGGGGGCCATTCTACTCAAACCATCACAGGGTCTCAGCACAGTGAAAATGACTATCCATTTTTTTAAAAAATGCTGCTTAGGATATAGAGAAAGAATAATTCTTAATATTTGTGGTTGGTACTTGTAGTGGTCTGAATGATCAAAATACACTGCATAAGAAAACATTTGCCAGAGCACTGCAGCAGAAGCTGTTGCCAGATTCGGGTCCAAAAATCCCAGGTTAACTCTTAAGATAAACCAATTATATTTTCTTTATTTTAAGGGGCAAACTCATGAAACAAGAAAGAGAAGTCCAACCTCAGTTGTGTAGCGTGGGAACCACAGAGAGAGCGAATCCTGGGCAGGCCGGTGTATTTCTTCAGCTACCCAAAAGGTCACGCACTAACCTGGTCTCACCTCTTAAAGATCATTGACTGACAGAGATTCCCCATCAAGGGGTCACAGAGAAGTATCGCTTACTGGCTTGCACTCCAGGGCTTGCTAGACCTGCGTTCTCATACAATCAAGGGCCACCTATCGAGGGGTGGCACCCAACAACGGGTGTGGCCCTCCTTTATCAATCATGTTTTCCCAGGTAGATATTCACACAACAGGTATCTGACACCAAACCTTATGTCCAGAATTGGATCACAGGGTTGTACATGGTGGGAGGCAAGAACTGACTCCTGAATGTTTTCTTATGACTAACACATGTGATTAGTGGCATGTGTGCATGTACATACACACACACATATAAATAAATAAATGTTGATATTAAAGGAATAATCAGTTCCCAGAAACTGTGAGCCCCTCTGTGCTGATACTGATGGCTGTGTATTAATCTCTGCCCAGGGGACATGGCAATCAACAAACTAACAAGCTAAGTACTGTCTCTGAGAGTTTCCATTCTATTTTGTAGAAGTGACAGAAAGAAAGCAAGTTTGTGCTGGTGGTAACAAGTGACAAACAGAAGAATAAAGGAGGGTAAATTCAGGAGCGGCAGTGCTATTTCAGAAAGCAGGCAGCTAGTTTCTACCTGGTATGAAGTCATCCCAAGAGAAAGGTGAAGCCAGCGCAAAGGTCTGGAGGTGAGCAAGTTCCTGGTGTGTTCAAGGAAAGCTGAGCAGTAGGAAGGTAGAGCAGGTGGCCCACAATAGAATGAGTGAGGAGCCAGAAGTGGGATCCAATGACAGAAATAGGGCAGGGTGAGGTGAGTCAGGCCATATAGAACCTCGAGACCCAGGGAAAGGAACCTGTGTTTCTTTCAGAGCGAGACAGGGAGGATTGCAAGAAAGAGGTAAGAAGGTAATTCACATATTAGGTTGTGACTCTGGCTTCAAGACTGAGAATAGACCATGAAGCATCAGCAGGAAGAGGTAGGAAGGTGGAGCACACACCCAGGATGCTGACTGGACCAGCAGTCTCCTTGGGCACAGTGAGAAGGGTCAGATTACAGGTCTGTTTACAAGCCAGTGTCAGGACTGTGGCAATGGCTCAGTGGATAAAGCAGTTGCTATGCAAGCATGAGGACCTTTGCTCTGATCCACAGCATCCTCACAGATGCCTGCTGGGCGTGGCTACAGGCTTGTGATCCCAGAGCTCAGAAGGAGGAAACAGGAAGTCCCTCCAGCTGTCTAAGTAGCTAGACTAACTGTATTCATACATTCTCAAATCATACACATGCACACACATGCATGCATAAGAACATGCACAGACTCCACACACCTACAGAAAAAAAAAAAGATATTAGGAGGAATCAAATACCAGATTTGAGATTTAGGAGATTCCAGCAGTCAGAAAAGCCCCGGGGTTTGGGGCCTACCAGCCACTTCCTGAAATGAAGAACTTGTGATCTGGGCAGGCTACACGGTGAAGAGGAAGTACAAAGATCCAGAGCACAAATCTGGGAGATCAGAAGCTTTCGCTGAACTGGGACTGTTAACAAACACCCCCTCACTCCCACTCCACCCCCGCACCCCCCCAACCCCACCCCCAGCCCTGCTTCAGTAGATGAGGGAAGTGAGGCTCAGACATGAGTCCTGCACTCAGGAGGCAGGGCCTCTGCAAGCCCGGAAGAAGTTCTCAAGCCTGACTCCTCCTCCAGCCCAGGCAACTGCAGAGTCTTTACAACAGGAAATGAGCTGAGCTGAACATTGCTTAGTCTCCACTATCAAGTTTCAGAGGAAGAACATCTGCGCAGACTCTGATGTCTGGCGTCCTGGAGGAGCCAGACTCTATCACTTTTAAAGAGCGTGATTTCTAGCTGAGGAGCCTCGGCCAGGGACACACACCAGATGGCCAATGGAGGAACAAGTGAGTAGTGGGACCAACAGACACCACCAAAATGTTTGAAGTATGGGAAGATACGTGCTGGCCTAACTGTGTAAGACATGGGGACCTGTCCTGAGAGCCAGCGCCCAGGCTCCAGTCCTGCTTGGAGAGTCTGCAGGCCAGCTCTGGGGTGGGAGGTTGCTGGATTCACCTGTGTGCTTCATGTGCCTGCTGCTGTTATAGCCTGTCCTGCACCCTCCTCTCTCCTGTCTGTCCTGAAGCTGCAGGAATAAGGGTCATGAATGGGGAGGAGTTAAGTGGGAGGACTTAGGATGAGAAACAAAGAAGACAGAAACAACAGCTGGGAGCAACAGCTCTTGCATAAACTGATGATATAGGCCAAACATGTTTATTAGGAAGTATGGCATCATTTATGCTATTTGAGGGATGGTAGGGGACAGCCAAGGTCAGAAGAGAGCTAAGTCAGACGATGTGCTAAGAGAGCACAGGATCCCTGAGACACAGTTGCCTTACGACTGAAAACCACAGTCCATGGAGAAGAGTCAGGTCCCCAAAAGCCACAACTTCAGTTCCTCCGAGGCACTGGCTCCAGTGTCAGACCAGCCTCACCAGTTTCACTCCTGGACAAGGTCATAGAACTAATGTTCCCTTTGTCCTTTTTTGGGGTCCTCTTGGAAAGTCTTGGGTCACTCTAACGCCCCACACTTGTCCATGTGGCTCTTTGGTTTTCTCTGTGTAATTTGTCCTTCCAACTTTGTTGGCTCTGGATTATTCTCCCTGTGTGGTACCCATGGACAAGAGACTTCTAAATTCCTTCGCAGGGGATAGCCTGAACTCATACTGAGCTCTTGACTCCCCCTCTGTGCTACCTCGTCTCATCCTACCCTCTGTCACAGTAATGGCTGAAGGATTGATCTCCTTAGAGTGGGACACTAGAAAAAGGAAGAATCTGAGAAACACAGAGTATTGAGTGCCCTGCATGTTCCATCCCTGCACCCTCCAATCCTGTCTTCCTATCCTCTCTTGTCCCTGTCCCTGTAATACCAACACCCTTTCCTCCATCCCCAAACCTTCTCCCTTGATTCCCATCCTCTAATCCTCCCTGCTGTCATGTTCCATGTCCTGAATCTTTCCATCCTCTTGCTTTCCCATCCCTACATTTCTCCACCCTCCACTCTCCAGATGCCCACCTTCCCATTCCCCAACTCCATCACCACGGCTAGGCCTGAACCAAGTCTTTGCTCTTGCAATTTTCCAAAGTCAGAAACCTAGATCTTCTGTCAGCTGCTAGTGTCGAGAACTGTGCCCTCCTCCAGGAATCCAGCTGCTTCTGCACCAACAAACCCAAGCTGGTTGACAGGGCCCCAAGACTTAATTAAGGACCAGACAAAGATTCAATGACAGTCATCTTCCTAAAGATAGGCTTCTGGTTCCCTCCCACTCTGGCTCCTCCCCTTGATCTCTCCATTCCTCCTATCCTCATCCTTCCATTTTTCCCTGTCCTTTAAAGTTTTACACAAGTTCCTCATGGTTCAAATCACTGCCATCACTAGGTCCATATTAGGACAATGGCTACCCTGACTAGGAGCTAACTGGGTCCCCTGTCTTCAGTGTCACATTACTTACTATAGCTCCGTCTATTAACTGTTTTCACAGATTTCCCCAGGAGTGAATGACAGCAATCACATGATCTACTGCAGCAGATCAAGTTAACTCTTTTTCTGGTTCATGAAGTCACCCTAACCTATTCCCTTTTTTAAACCCAAGAGAGAGCTTAGCCCGACCTCCATCATCCCCCTCCTGCAGAAAGCAGCCAATGAGAGAATACACCCCCTTCCTTTTACTGGTCCTCGGGGTCAGATAAATGACCTTAATGACCTAAAATAACAAACCTTAGACAAGTTGAAAAACCTCCAATTCAGCATAACAGCACACTTGCCTGATAGAAAAGTCAAAGCAGTAAAGAGAACACCCACTGGCAATCATTCATGAATCTCTAGAGAACACATCCACCAATAAACCTTCCTCCCAGAGTTCCCTCTTCTGTTCTATAAAGCCCAAGCACTGCACCAGGACACACAGTCTTTATCCCCAAAAGAGACCCAAGTTCTTCAGTTGTTCTGATCAGAGGATTATCTGTCCCTGTAGAGGCTGCTCTACTCTTTCTTTATTTCCAGTTCTCCTCCATCAGTTCTGGTAAAACACCCTTTCCCAGCACAGAAATGGCTGGCAGAGACAAGGATCCACTGCTCTCAAACTTGGAGCAGCAGCAGAAGGGAAAACGAAAGCAAGACCAGTGCGAGGCGCACAGTCAAGCATCCTCTGAGGGTTCTATGGCCATGGAAGAAGCCCAGTCCCAGAAGGCGAGAGGCACAGAGGAGGCTCAGCAAAAGGGCCAACAGGTCTTGGACCCCAAGAGAAAGCAGATGGATCTGGAGCCACAGCAGACCAAAGCCCCAGCAGAGAAGGACTTAGTGATAAGTAAGTATAACAAGGACCCCAAACCACTACTGTGACTCCTTCATCACCATTGAGCCCGCTTTCTGTGGTTTCCATGGTTAGGCTAATCTCCTTTCCGATGGATTCACAGGCCCAGGACAGCCTGGAACCAGAAGGCATGCAGAAACTCCTAAGTGAGCCTTAGAGTCCCACACCCTCTCCTACAGCAGTGCATTCTCAGACCCCTGGGAATGAACATTCTGAAGCTTCAGGAGTGGGAAGAGGCTGGCATTCAGGAAAAGAGTGAGCACAGGGTTCAAGCCAGTCCCCAAAAGGAGTGCTGGGTGACAACTTAAGTTACCAGACTTTGGAGCTGGGCTGCAGTGTTGGTTCCATCACCATGTACAAGTCACTTATAAATAAGTAAAAACATATTTCCTTGGGCTGTGGGAGTAAAGTGATAATCCATGTTGAATCATAAATAGTCAATATTCAGTAAATGTTCAGATATTATAAGAACAAGCCCATGCAATTGCTGCTGCTGTTATTATAATAGTTTGAAACCTGGTGGGACAGAAGCTCAGAGCCCCAATGAGGGAGCTGAGGCTTACAGAGAAGACTAGACATTCTGATAAGAGTCTAATATAGAACCAGGACAGATGTGTGAACTTTGTGGTCCCAGAGAAGGATCCTTCCTCATCAGGAGCTCTGAGAGCATCATTCTTCCCATGTGACAGTGAAGAAGGCTATGAGGATAAGGAGAAAGGACCCTGGGCTTACTCCCCTGGCTCCTTCCTCTGCCTCTCTGACAACCATACAACTGTTTCTTTCTCAGAGCCCAATCTTCCTCATTTCAGGCTCCAGGGGGACACTTAACATGGAGATTTTTATTTTATTTTTATTTATTTTATTTTATTTTTTATTGAGTTATATTTTTCTCCACTCCCCCACTCCTACTCTCTCCCATGGACCCCATGCTCCCAATTTATTCAGGACATCTTATCTTTACCTACATCTCATATACATTCGATCCATGTATGTCTCTCTTAGTGTCCTCATTATTGTCTAGGTTCTCTGGGATTGTGAATTGTAAGCTGGTTTTTCTTTGCTTTATGTCTAAAAGCCACTTATGAGTGAGTACATATGATATTTGTCTTTTTGAGTCTTGGGTACCTCACTCAATATGATGTTTTCTAGATCCATCAATTTACCCACAAATTTCAACATGTCATTGTTTTATCCTGCTGTATAGTACTCCACTGTGCAAATTACAACATTTTCCTTATCCATTCTTTGGTCGAGGGGCATTTAGGTTGTTTTCAGGTTCTGGCTATGACAAACAGTGCTGCTCTGAACATAGTTGAGCACATGTCCTTGTGATACGATTGAGCATCCTTTGGGTATATACCCAAATGTGGTATTGCTGGGTCTTGAGGTAGATTGTTTCCTAATTTTCTGAGAAATTGTCATACTGATATGCAAAGGGGCTGTACCGATTTGCACTCCCACAAGCAATGCAGGAGTGTTACCTTTACCCCACATCCTCTTCAGTATAAGTTGTCTTCAGTGTTTTTGATCTTTGCCATTGTTACAGGTTTAAGATGGAATCTCAGAGTCGTTTTGGTTTTCATTTCTCTGATGGCTAAGGACGTTGAGCATTTACTTAAGTGGTTTTTGGCCATTTTAGATTCCTCTGCTGAGGGTTCTCTATTTAGGTCTGTACCCCATTTTTATTGGATTATTTGTTATTTTGATGACCAATTTCTTGAGTTCTTTGTATATTTTAGAGATCAGACCTCTGTGTGATGTGGGGCTGGTGAAGATCTTTTCCCATTCTGTAGGCTGCCATTTTGTCTTGTTAACTGTATCTTGCTTTTAAATGCACAACCTCACATGACTTGACTCTAGCCAGCCTTTCTAAACTTAAATTATTCCATCTATTGTTTGGCTCTGAACTTTTTTCTGAACCTTTCTATATAACTTTCTGTACTGATTTATCTGTGGGTTGTTATGTAGCTGGGTGGCTGACCCCAGGTGTACTCCTCTTGTTCTCCTTTCATGCCCTGTTGTCTCTTCAGATTTCTTTTTCTTTCCTATCCCCCACCCCCAACCCACCCCTACCTACTCCTCAGAGAGGGAAAGGCACATTGTTTTAGGGAAGGTCCAAGGCCCTCCCTACTATATCTAGGCTGAATAAGGTATCCATCCAAAGAGAATAGATTCCAAAAAATCCAGTACAAGCAGTAGGGATAAATCCTGGTGACACTCCCAGTGGCCCCACAGTCTGCCCTAGCCATTCAACTGTCACCCACATTCAGAGGGCCTAGTTCGGTCCTATGCTTGTTCCTTCCCTGGCCAGCTGGAGTTGGTGAGCTCCCATTAGCTCAGGTAAGCTGTTTCAGTGGGTGTCCCCATCATGGTCTTGACCTCTTTGCTCATATTCTCACTTCTCCCACTCTTCAACTGAACTTTAGGAGCTCAGTCCAGTGTGTCAATGCAGATCTCTGCCTCTGTTTCCATCTGTTGCTGGGTGAAGGTTCTGTGGTGATATTTAAGGTATTCATCAGTCTGACTACAGGGCAAGACCAGTTCTGGCACTCTTTCCTCTATTGCTTAGGTTCTTAACTGGGGTCATCCTTGTGGATTCCTGGGAATTTCTATAGTGCCAGGTTTCTGGCTAACTCCATAATAGGTCCCTCAATCAAAACATCTCTCTCCTTGTTCTCATTTCTGTTCTTCCTCTATCTCAACTATCATATTCCCTCAAGTTCTCCTCCCCACTCCCCTTCTTCCCTCATTTTCTCTGTCTGCTCTCCCTACTCCCCTCACCCCCATGCTCCAAGTTTTGTCAAGAGATCTTATCTATTTCCCCTTTCCACATGCATCTATGTATGTTTTTCTTAGGGTTCACCATATTACTTAGCTTCTCTAGGATCATGAACTATAGGCTCAATATCCTTTCCTTTACAGCTAGAATCCACTTATGAGTGAGGACTTACCATGTTCTCCTTTCTAGGTCTGGGTTAACTCACTCAGGATGGTTTTTTACTAGTTCCATCCATTTACATGCAATTTCAAGATGTCATTGTTTTTTACCACTGAGTTGTACTCTAATGTGTAAATGTACCTTATTTTATTTATCCATTCTTCAGTTGTGGGGCATCTAGTTCCAACTATTACAAATAATGCTGCTATGAACATAGTTCATACAAATGTCCATGCAGCATAATTGAGCATTCTTTGGGTATATGCCCAAGAGTGATACGGCTACATCCTGAGGTAGGTTGATTCCCAATTTTCTGAGAAATTGCTACACTGATTTCCAAAGTTGTTATACAAGTTTGCATTCACACTAGCAATAAATGAGTGTTCCCCTTATTTCACATCCTCTCCCTAAGCTATCATTTGTGTTTTTGATCTTAGCCATTCTGACAAGTACAAGATGGTATCTCAGAGTTGTTTTGATTTGCATTTCCCTAATGGCTACAGATGTTGAACATTTCCTTAAGTGTCTTTCGGCCATTTCAGAATTTTCTGTTGAGAATTCTGCTTAGTTCTGTACTGCATTTTTACATTGGGTTATTTGGAATTTTGATGCCTAATTTCTTGAGTTCTTTATATATTTTGGAAATCAGTCCGCTGTCTGATGTGGGGTTGGTGAAGATCTTTTCCCACTCAGTAGGCTGCCTTTTTGTCTTATTGACTGTGTCCTTTCCTTTACAGAAGCTTCTGAGTTTCAGAAGATCCCATTTATTTATTGTTGCTCTCAGTGTCTATGCTACTGGGATTATATTTAGGAAATGATCTCCTGTACCCATTCATTGAAGGCTACTTCCCACTTTCTCTACTATCAGGTTCAGTGTGGTTGGATTTATATTGAGGTCTTTAATCCATTTGAACTTGAGATTTGTGCATGGGAGTAGATACTGATCTATTTTCATTCTTCTACATGTTGACATCAAGTTATGACAGCACCATTTGTTGGAGATACTTTCTTTTCTTCCATTGTATTATTTTAGCTTCTTTGTCAAAAATCAGGTATTCATAGGTGTGTGGATTAATGTCTGGGTCTTTTATTTTATTCCATTGGTCAACCTCTCTGTTTTTATGCCAATAACAAGCTGTTTTCATCACTATAGCTGTATAATAGAGCTTGGTATCAGGAATGGTAATTCCTCCAGAAGTTCCTTTATTGTAGAGGATTGTTTTGGCTATCCTGGGTTTTTTGTTTTCCCATATGAAGTTCATTATTGTTCTTTCAAGGTCTGTAAAGAATTGTGTTGGAATTTTGATAGGGATTTCATTGAAACTTTTAGATTACTTTTGGTAGAATTACCATTTTTTATTATGTTGATCCTACCTATTCAAGAGCATAGGAGATCTTTCCATTCTCTGGTATCTTCTTCAGTTTCTTCAAAGATTTAAAGTTCTTTTTCGTACAGGTCTTTCACTTCTTTGGCTACTGTTACCCCAAGATATTTTATGTTATTTGTGGCTATTATGAAGGGTGATGTTTCTCTGATTTCTTTCTCAGCTTCTTTTATATCATTTGTATATAGGAAGGATACTGATTTTTTTTTTTAGTTGATCTTGTACCTGCCACATTACTGAAGTTATTTATCAGCTGTAGGAGTGCCCTAGTAGAGTTTTTGGGGTGACTTATGTGTGCTATCATATCATCTGGAAATAACAAAAGTTTGACTTCTTCCTTTCCAATTTAAATCCTCTTGATCTCCATTTGTTGTCTTATTGCTCTAGCCAAAAGTTCAAGAACTATGATGAATAGATATGAAGAGAGTGGACAAGAAGACAAGATACCTTGTCTTCTTCCTGATTTTAGTGGGATTGATTTGAGTTTCTCTCCATTTAATGTTGACTGTTGGCTTGCTGTATATTGCTTTTATTATGCTTAGATATGTTCTTTGTATCACTGATCTCTCCAAGACCTTTATCATAAAGGGGTGTTGGATTTTGTCTAATACTTTTTCAGCATCTAATGAGATGATCATATGGCTATTTTCTTCCAGTTTATTTACAAAGTGGATTACATTGATAGATTTTCATATGTTGAACCATCCCTGTATCTCTAGGATGAAGCCATCTTGATCATAGTGGATGGTTTTTTGGATGTGTTCATGGATTCGGCTTGCCAGTATTTTACTGAGTATTTTTGCATCTATGCTCTTGAGTGAGATTGGTCTGTAATTGATGCGGGAGAATTGTCTGTATTCTGTCAATCATATTTTAATAAAACGCTGATTGGCCAGGCAGGCAGTATAGGCGGTAAAACCAGACAGGAAGTAGAGGTGATGCAATGAGAACAGGAGAATACTGGGAAGCAGGGAGGTTCCTCTGCCATTTCTGTACAGACCACCGAAGAGGCAACATGTAAGTTGTCACACTGAGAAAGGTACTGAGCCCGTGTGGCTAACATAGATCAGAATAATGGGTTAAGATAAGTCATAAGAACTAATAAGTAGCCTGACCTAATGGACCAATCAGTTTATAACCTTATGGATTCCTGTGTCTGATTTCTCTTTGGGATTTGCCGGTTGTGGGGTACCGGGCGGGATAGAAACCCCAACAAGCCTGCCCTCATGTTACATGTAATTCTTTTTCTTGGCTGAGTCTATGTATGGTTTGGTGTATGGGTAACTGTTGCCTCATAAAAAAGAGTTTATCAAAGTTCCTTCTGTTTCTTTTATGTAGAATGCTTTGAGGAGTAAAGGTATTAGCTCTTCTTTGAAGTTCTGGTAGAATTCTACACTGGAACCACCCGGCCCTGCAATTTTATATTTAAATTGTCCACCTGGTCTTGATTTAATTTTGATATGTGGTACCTATCCAGAAAATTGCCAATTTCTTTTACATTTTCCAATTTTGTGGAGCACATGTTTTAGTAGTTTGACCAAATGGTTCTCTGAATTTCCTCAGTATCTGTTATGTCCACCTTTTCATTTCTGATTTTGTTGATTTGGATGTTCTCTCTCTGCCTTTTGATTAATTTGGATAAGGTTTTGTCTATCTTGTTGATTTTTTTCAAAGAACAAACTCTTTGTTTCATTGATTCTTTGTATTGTTTTCTTTGTTCTATTTTTATTGATTTCAGCCCCTCAGTTTGATTATTATTATCCTGTCATCTATTCGTCCAGGGTGAGTCTGTTTCTTTTTGTTCTAGAACTTTCACGTGTGTTGTTAAGTCATTAGCATGAGCTTTCTACACTTTCTTCATGTAGGCACTTAGTGCTATGAACTTCCCTCTTAGCACTCTTGTCATAGTGTTCCATAGGTTTGTGTATGTTGTCCCTCATTTTCATTGAATTCTAGGAAGTTTTAATTTCTTTATTTCTTCCTTGACACCAGATATGGTTCAACAGAGCACTGTCCAATTTTCATGTGTTTGTGGACTTTCTGAAATTAGTGTTGCTGTTGAATTCTAATTTTAAACCATGGTGATTCAATAAGATACAGGGGATTACTCCATTGTTTTTTGTATCTGTGGAGGTTTGCTTTGTTACCAAATATGTGGTCAGTTTTAAAAAAGGTTCCATGAGCTGATGAGAAGAAGGTATATTCTTTTGTGTTTGGGTAGAATGTTCTGTAGATATCTGTTAAGTTCATTTGGGTCATGATATCTGTTAGTTCTCTTATTTCTCTGTTAAGTTTCTGTCTGGTTGACCTGTCCATTTGAGAGAGTAGGGTATTGAAGTCTCCTACTATTAGTGTGTGGGGTTTGATGTGTGATTTAAGTTTTAGTAATATTTCTTTTACATATGTGGATAATCTTGAATTTAGGGCATAGATGTTCAGGATTGAGACTTCATCTTTATGTATTATTGTTCTTGTTATGAGTATAAAGTGTCCTTCTCCATCTCTTCTGATTGATTTCAGTTTGAAGTCTATTTTGTTAGATATTAGGATAGCTACACTCACTTGTTCTTATGTCCAATTGATTGGAAAATCTTTTCCCAACCCTTTACTCTGAGGTAATGTCTGTCTTTGAGGTTGAAGTGTGTTTCTTGTGGGTGAAGTTAGCTTCCTTGTTTTGGGGTTTTCCTTCTAGTACTTTCTTTAGGGCTGGGTTTGTGGATATGTTTTGTTTAAATCTGATTTTGTCATGGAATATCTTGTTTTCTCCATCGATGATGATTTAAACTTTTCTGGGTATAGTAGTCTGGCCTGCAACTGTGGTCTCTTAGTGTCTGCTGCACATCTGCCTAGGACCTTCTGGCTTTCATGGTTTCCATTGAGAAGTTGGGTGTAATTCTGATAGGTCTACTTTTATATGGTACTTGACCTTTTTCCTTAGCAGCTCTTAATATTCTTTCTTTATTCTGTATGTTTTGCATTTTGATTATTATATGAAGTTATGTTTTGTTTTGTTTTGTTTTTTGATCTAATCTATTTGGTGTTCTGTAAGCTTCTTGTACCTTCATAGAAATATCCTTCTTTAGGTTGAGAAATTTTTCTTCTATGATTTTGTTGAATATATTTTCTGTGCCTTTGAGCTGGAGTTCTTCTCCTTTTATCCCTATTATTCATGGGTTAGGTCTTTTCATGGTGTCCCAGATTTCCTGGATGTTTTGTGTTAAGAATTTGTTAGATTTAATGTTTTCTTTGACCAATGAATCTATTTCCTCTATAGTATCTTCAAGCCCTGAAATTCTCTCTTCTATCGTTTGTATTCTGTTGGTTATGCTTGCCTCTGTAGTTTCTGTTCATTTGCACAGATTTTTCAGATCCAAAATTCCCTCAGTTTGTGTTTTCTTTATTGCCTCTATTTCAGACTTCAAGTCTTGAACTGTTTTCTTCCCCTGTTTGATTGCTATTTCTTGATTTTCTCTGAGAGATTTATTAATTTCTTTCAATTTTTTGTTTGTCTTTTCCTCAATTTCTTTAAGGGAGTTTTTCATTTCCTTTTTAAGGTATCCACCATCTCCATAAGTTACATTTAAAATTGTTTTTTTCTTCTTCTTCGAGGTTAGGATGATCAAGTCTTCCTGTTGTATGACTACTGGGTTCCAGTGTTACCATGTTGCTTTTTAGGTTGTTGGATGAATTCTTTTTTTTTAATTTAATTTTATTCTTTTGTTGGATGAATTCTTGCCTTGGTGCCTACCCACCTCTTTTTTTCAATTGATGCTGGCAGTGTCTATGCATTTTGGTCCAATCCTTGCAATAACTGTGTCTTGGGAACTGTTCTTGGTTTGCTCTGTACTGTCACTCTCTGAGTCTCAGGGGTTTTGGAGCAGTCTACCTGCAGGAAACTCACCTACTGGCTGGCTCTTGTAGTAGCCTGTCTGTGTAGTAGCAGGCTGTATTTCAGAGTTCTACTGAGGTTTCAGGGGGATAGAAGGATTCAGGGGTGGGGTGGGACTTGTAGCTTGCGGGGGTCCAATGTGTGGTATGGGGGTATTGGAGCAACCTACATGCAAGAAACTCTCCTGCTGACTGGCTAGAGAAACTGATGCAGGTCGGGGAGGGGCCCAGGGTTTTGCCCCAGTATGGGGTGTCCCACCGGGCAGGTGGTCACTCACCTCTTGGTCCTCTCTGTGTACTAGCAGGCTGTGTTTCTGTCTCTTCCAGATTTCTACTGCTATTTATTCTTTCTGCCTGCCAGCACCGCCTGTCCTTTTGCCTTCCCATGTATTGACCATTCTGCTCTTTCTTACACCAGTTAGGTATTTTAGACAGGCAAAGTAATATTAATAAAAATTTGTTTAATAGAATTAAACAAATGCAACATAAAAGAATGCAATACATCTTTGCATCATTAGACACATATTCCACAACATAAACAAATGTGACATATATTCAACTAATATTCCACAAAAAAAAATCTATGTGTGTAATGGACATAATATCCCCCCTGAAACTGTAGGTCAAACACTAAGAAACATAATAAGCCTTCAAAAAAAGTTAAATTACCTGTTTGCAGACATACTCCTATAATCCCAAAATTTATTAAATTAATGTGGGAGGAGTTTGAGCTCCGGGTGAGCCTAAACTACACAGTAAGATTCTAACTATTCATGTGGAATGGAAACTCAGAGACCTATATGAGGGAAGAGAGGGTCAGAGAAGAACAGAGACTGACACACAGAACTAGAATAGATCAGCATAGGTGTGTGAACTTCGTGTCCCCGTGCAGGACTGTTTACTGCAGCGTTCTCTCCAGGACACTGTGGAGAAGGGTGTGAGGATAAGCAGGTCGGACCCCAGTGATGGTAAAGATATTGGGCGCTTAAAAGAAATCTCACACTGGCTTAGAACTGAGAGACAGACAGTTATTTATTTAGGGGGAAAACTCACAAAACCAGGATTCACTGCTTGAATGGCAGATGGAGATGAGATCCAAAACAAACCGAACTAGCGGGAACGGGGCATTGAGGGGGGGGGGGGTGAAGCGCTTCCGCATCCGGGTAAATAGTCTATGGGGCCACGCCCCAGCAGGCAATTACAAGTTGTAAACCATCCCGCAGCACCCTAGGCTTGCTACCCTGCCTAGGATAGCTCTCTGACAATCACACAACCACTATCCCTTCCCATGGCCCTTTCTTCATTTCCAGGCTCAACGGTCCTGGAAATGCAGAAACATAAACATAAACCTCGGAGACCAAGTCGGACTTCAGATTCTGAGCGTGATGTGTATGGATCTAATGAGTCTGGATACAGCAGTGACAGTAAGTGGAGCTGGCAGCTGGAGATGGGACCTCTAGTTCACCTAGATGGTAGTTCTTCACAGGTGAACCTCCCCCTGTATGGGGACCTGGGACAGGCAATGTAAATAGACCAGAGGATCCATGGTAGAGTGCAAAGAGTTACAGGCTAGAAATGCCCCTGGGCTCTGACACATGAAGAAACTGGAACCCATGGGGGTCAGCAGTGAGCCTAGCCCAAAATGGCACCCAGAGTTCAGCTCAAAATATAAGTTGATTCTGAAATTCCAGGGGTCATACAGGTCCTGAAGTTCCATGAAGATGGACTCCAAGGAGAGAAAAGGTCTCAGCTTCATCTTGACTTCCCTTCTTTCAGCTTAGCAAGGCTACACCATAGCCTCTTCTTCTCAAGCATCAAAGTAGCCACCACTCTCTAGTGCACAAGGTCTGGAGAAAGAGGTTATCTTGGCCTAGCTCACAGCATAGAAAGACAGACACAGGGCTGGAATTTAGAATAATGGGACCTGAGAAATGATTTATTCCTCCCTCATCCTGCTGCTACTCTGTGAAAGTCCTTCCCACACCTAACCCTTGTCTTTCCCTTCTATTCCATTCTTCCCACCCCACATAAAGTCTTGAGAATGATGAATACAGAATCAAAAGCCAAGGCCTGTAGTTGTCACCTTAGCTCATTTAATGCACGCCACAGAAAAGGACATTGCACAGTCTGTGTCTCAGTTTCAGTATCTGAGCATTGACTCTGCTCACCCATGTTTTGCTGCTGACTCAGCATCGTGCACAGGTCTCTCATCTCCAGGCTGCACCCAAGAAGGCCAGTGCACATGGGTTGAGGAAGACTCCACTGATATTGTATCAGATATTCTACTGCTCTTATCTCTCTCCCAAGAAAGGTTGCTCCTCTGTTGCCACCAGTATCCTCCTTTCATGTTTTTTCCACACTATTCCCTTCTTCCAAGTTGCTCCACTAAAACAATTCCACTCCATCACACACTTCCATGCTCATTTTCATAGCTTATCAAAGCTTTGTTTAAAAGACTCTCACCTTCCTCCCTTGAGTGCCACTTAGTAACAGTCAGCTGTTATTTGAAATATTTTCCTGAGCCCCCAAGAATCTCTGAATCACTCTGTCTGATGGACACTATATCCACATTGAAGCTGTAGATCGAACACTAAGAAAAATCAAAAGGCTTCAAAAACATGATGGCTGACTGGTCGTAGACATATTCCAATAATCCTAGAAAGTGTGAAATTAATGCAGGAAAATAGGAGTTCAAGGGAAGCCTGAGCTACACAGTAAGAATCTACCTATTTCTGTTGGGTAGAAGCTCAGAGACCCACAGGAGGGAATTGAGACTCAGAGAAGAATGGAGACTCACACTTAGGACTAGAGTAGATCAGCATAGGTGTGTCAACTTAATGGTCCCAGTGCAGGATCATTGCCTGCAGCACCTGTAAGAGCATCACTCTCTCCAGGACACTGTGGAGAAGGGCATGTGGATAAGCAGGTAGGACCCCAGCCTTGCTGCCCTGACTGCTGCTGTTGCCTCTCTGACAATCACACAATCACTGCCCCTTCCCATGGCCATCATTTACAGGTGCAGTAATCCCGCCCTCTGTGGATCCCACTCCTTACCAAGGTTCTTCACAAGGAATGTACTCAGAGCATGAATTTTGGAGATCAATTCTGACATCAAATATTGAGCTTGATAAATGGAAATCTGAGGAGTCTGGTTTCAAAACCCAAGGTAAGCTGAGCTGGCAGCTGGCAGTGGGACTTTTAGTGATGTAGATGGTGGTTCTTTACATGCAAGCCTCTGTGTTTGATTGTTTTCTACTCTTGGCTCTTTAAAGTGTAGCTGTGTGTCATTGACTATTTTGAGGGCCTCCCATCCACATCCCAAATAAATCACAGGGAGTCTTATTATTACTTGTAAATGCCTAACCTCGACTTGGCTTCTTCCTAGCCAGTTTCTCCTAAATTATCTCATCTACCTTTTGTTCTGGGCTTTTACCTTTCTCTGTTCTATTATACTTTCTTTACTTCTTACTCTATGGCTGGCTGTGTAGCTAGATGGCTGACCCCTGGTGTCCTCTTCTCCTTTAATTCTAGTTCCTTCTTCTTTGCTCTTTTTCTCCTTCTATCTCTGCCTGCCAGCCATGACTGTTCTCTCTCCTGCCTTTCTGTTGGCCTTTAAGCTCCTTATTAGACCAATCGAGGGTTTTAGACAGACAAAATAACACAGCTTCACAGAATTCAACAAATGCAGCAAAAAAAGAGTTCAACCCATCTTTGCATCATTAAAATAAATGTTCCACAGCATAAAAAAATATAACACATCTTAAAATAACATTCCACAACATTTCCCCCTTTTGTCTAAACAAAAATGAAAGGTTTTAACTTTAACATATATTCAGTTGCTATGGGATAATGTTTTTGTACGCTGTAAAGATTTGTCACTAGTTTTAGTTTAATAAAATACTGATTGGCCAGTAACCAGGCAGGAGGTATAGGTAGGCCAACCAGACTAGGAGAATTCTGAGAAGAGGAAAGACAGAGATACAGTCATCAACCAGATGAAGAGGAAGTAAGATGAGAATGGCTCACTGAGAAAAAGTACCAAGCCATGTGGCTAAATGTAGATAAGAATTATGGGTTATTTTAAGTTGTAAGAGCTACTTAATAATAAGCCTGAGCTAATAGAACAAACAGTTTGTAATTAATATAAACCTCTGTGTGCTTCTGTGGGACTGAACAGTTACAGGACCAGGTGAGACAGAAGCTTTGATATACATTCAGTCCATTTGCATTTAACAAATTCAGAGAAAACACTCCACCATCCATCCAGTCTTCGTGATTCCAGAGTTTTATAATTAATTTACTTTCTGTCATAATTAAGGAAAACTGAAAATTACCTGACAACAGAGACATTGGCTGCCTGGGCAGTCACTCAAAGTTCCTCTGCAACATATGGGCATCATCTTCAGCCTACAGACCTAAATAACCAGCAGACTTCTCAGTGAAATTTGAAAACCTTAATTCATCCTTCACTGTTACAATCTACACACTTAACACCTCTGTCTCCCTTTCTCTGTCATCAGGGCAATAAAGACAGTGACACCAAAGACAGGGAAGTAAAGGCTCTGGGTGCTAAGGACCTGACTTTGAGCAACACAGCCTTTCAGTGCTAGGAGATGCCACCTTTGAAATCTGAGCTACACTCAAAGAGAAGGATTCCTACCACTGCCAGCTTTGCAGTGACCTTGTAGAATCCAGGGCCTTAAAATATGACCTAGGCTTAAAGAGCATCAACTGACTTAATCAGTCCCACCACTTCACATTCAAAACAGAAAGAAAGGGAAGAAGGAAAACAGGAAGGACTTGAGACTTCTATACACACATACAAATGCAGTAACATCCATGCAGTGCAGCAACCTTAGGAACGACAATAGCAAGTGTGAAGCCATGAGGACTAAAGAGTTGCTGTAACTGAACAGCCTATGAATTAGAGGACCCTGGCAGGCAGGGGTATTAGGTGTTATCAACAGCAAAGACCAAATGAAGAGACAGTTCTCATTGATTCTAAGTCCTGATGGGGAGTCTCATCTGAGAACATAACATAATATCTAACAACAGCTTCATAGCAAATGTTCAATCCACATGGCATGCATTGTAATGTATCAAGAGGAAAGGAGGGAAACTGAGTAAGGGACATGTTGACTGATACTGTAGGCTCTGTGGGTCTCTATCACACCTGTACAGCTCTGCTGACACAGTCTCAAAGATGAACAGACGACAGAACACCAAATGACCATGCTGTGCTCCAACTGTGCACCATGCTGTTTGTGGACACTACCTTTTGTTTGATTTGCTGTTTTGCTGTGGTTGCAGTGCCTTGCTATTTCTTTCGTTGTATTGACTAACATGCAGAAATGGGCTCTGTGGCATTTTAACATATACACATCACCAGTCTGTGTTTTAATTTCCTCTTGCTGTCCACGCCTCTACTCCTCCCTCTCTTCCTGGCCCCTTCCTCTCCCCAGACAGCCTCCCTCCTTTTATGACACATGGGCTCTATTACCCTTTCTTGTCCCCTCCCCTTCCCTTCAGATTTCTTTCTTTCCTTCACGGTCAGTCCTCTTACACTAAACACTAAATTTTGAATTTCATATACTTTTCCTAACATGAAATGGTCTTCTTCTGATTTTATCTAACTATTTGCACTCTTAAATATTATTTCTGCTATTTTCAGCTTACAAAAATAAGTGGCCAGCTGAGGTTGACAAACATTGACCAAATATAGCCAGGTAACTCTCTCTCTCTGTTTCTGTCTCTATCTCTGTCTCCCTCCCCCACCAATCTCTCTCTCTCTCTCTCTCTCTCTCTCTCTCTCTCTCTCTCTCTCTTTCTCTGTGTGTGTGTGTGTGTGTATGTGTGTTTTAATGGGGTTTGTTAACCACTGATCATAAGAGTATTAAAGTTAACCTCATTAGGATCATTGGAGCAGGTAATTTCCTAATCAAACTTAAAAACAAAGATTTTTCTCTTTCTCATATTTCAGAATAACTTTTTTCTTATAGCCCCACCCTGTTTCCTCTCAAATTCATGATCTCATTATTTAAGTCTTATTTTCACACACACACACACACACACATGTGTATATATATATATATATATATATTCAAATAAATATCTATATAAATATCTATATAAATAATATATATATATTCAAATAAATATCTAAATGTAACCTGCTAAGTCCATGTAGTGTTTCATATATATATATATGACTTCTCCAGAGCACCTAATATTGGATAACTATTAGAAAGATCATCTCTGGGAATGATGGCTGGCCAACCTAGGAAAGAGTTGAACCTTAGACCAATACTAGGGCGGGCTGAGGAGGCATAGTGACCACTCCCTGGCCTCTTCTAGAGGAGGAGTCTGAGGAGGAGTGCGAGGAGGAATACTCACAACTGGCATTGCCGGCTTCCTTCAATCCATATTCTCCTGCCTCTTCAAAAGACAAGCACATGGAACTACCGTGGACTGATGATGACTTCTGGGGCCCTACAGGGCCTGTTGCTATTGAGGTGTTTGACAGAGAGAGAAACCTGTACCGGTGAGTGAGCTCTGCCTGGCAAAGGCTAGCCTTTACCAAGCACACTTTCCACAAAGGACCCCCCACAGATTGCACCTGTATATTCTCTACTGTGTCTCCTCCCCCCCTCACCAACCGGGGAGGCAATGCCAGGACTGGAATAAGAAGTTTGGCTGTTATGAAAATAGGGATCTTTATCATAAAATTTTTCTGACGTGCAAAACAGGAGAGCACAAGTATTCCATGTCCAAATACTCAGCTCCAGGAACCATTTTTTCAAGTTCATTTCAACTACTCACATTCCCCTTTTGTCATCACTGTCACAGCAGTGTGAGTCCAGGACATCAGGTGACTTCACCCACAAACATTTCCCTGTGCCTCCCCTGTATGTAAGACAGGACCTCATCCTCCATGACCAGCCCATCATTATCACATCAATAAGCCGATGTGAGTCCTTCATTACATCTAAACATCTGTGCTCAACTTTGCTTATTATCTTAATTTTTGACTTTTTTGCAGATTAATTTATTCATAATGTAAACAACACTAACCCCCTCATTATATTTCATTTCTCTTTCTCATACGTATCCTTAAATATATACTTTAGGAACATAAAGTCTAAAACCTGAAGATAGACCTCAGTGGTAGAGTCTTTGGCTAGTGTGCAAGGTCCTAGCTGGAGCCCCAAAACTTTGTTCTAAATCACTCAGTATTTGATGGTATTGTCATTATCCATATATACAGATGAGGAGACAGATCTGTGCTCACTGACTTAGTTAGGGATCCACATACAGCTAGAAGTGGAACCAGAACTCAGAACCATCTGGCTCAAGTCTGCTGAGTCCCCAGTCCTGCACTGGGTCTGCACCTAATGGAAGAGCAGAGCTGGTGTTCACTGGTGTCTGCCTCTCCCTTTTCTAGAGTTCAGTTCCCTGTGCATGGTTCCTACCACTGTCCCAGCACAGGACTCCACTTTGTGGTGACAAGGGCAGTGACCATCGAGATTGGATTCTGTGCCTGGAGCCAACACCTGGACAAGACTCCCTTGCCGGACAGTCACATGGTGGCCGGGCCTCTGTTTGACATCAAGGCTGAGCAGGGAGCTGTAGCTGCTGTGTACCTCCCTCACTTTGTGGATCTCCAAGGTAACCAAGGGAAGCATAAGGAGTCGGGTGGTGGTGATGGGAGGACCTGTCATGTCCTAAAGCAGAGCACAGGGTGATGGTGATGAGGAAAGGCCTATGGCTTCCTTAGTGAGGCAGAGCAGACTGTGAAGGTGGACACTGAGTTGTTTTCTCATCCCCTCTTTGAAGCACGTCTCTCCCAGCCTTATGACTTTCTTTCTGCTTTACCTGAAAGAGTCCCTGAGTGGAAAGTGATGTCCTCAGTAGCAGTATTTGCTGGTGATTATTAAATGTTCTTTACACACCATGTCCCTCATGGGCCCAGCAGGGAACTTAGAATAAACTGAGCAATTTGAAGAGATTGCTGCAAAGTAAGACTAAAGAAATTAACAAAGAACATTGTTACCCAGTGTCTTCCAACACTGTAATCCATTGAACAGCTGTAGACAGGGAGAAAATGGCACCACGAGATTCTATTTGAGAACTGGAGCAACAGAAGAGGGGTTTCCTAAGAAATCAGGGTGGGACTCATAAAGTGTTCCAAACTGATTCCTTCAGAGGTTTTTTTTCTTTTTATTTATTCTTCTCTTATACGGTACATACATACCGCACCCACCCCTCTCTCTGTGCTCATCACAGTTCTCCCCTTCACCTCCTCTCCCCTCCAGATCCACTGCTCCTCTGTCTTCCTTCGTAAAAGAGCAGGTTTCCCAAGTTATATCAAAAATACACAGAATAACAAGTCGCAATAAGACTAAGCACAAAGGGTAGACCAGGCAACCCTGCAGGATGAAAATGGTCTTGAGAAAAGGAAAGAGTCAGAGACATTCCCACTGTTAGGAGTCCCACAAGAACAACAAGCTAAACAAGCAGAGCATGTGACCACAAAGAAGATGTTTTAACAAATACAAAGTTCTCAGTGAAAGATCTCATAAAGAAAGTATTACTATATGCCTGTAATCCTAGCGCTTCTGGGACTGAGGCAGGGGAATTTAGAATTCAAGTGCGACCTAGACTACACATCCAGATTCTACCTACAAAAGGAAAAAAAATGAAAGCAAGAGAATCAGGCCTTGTACAAGTGACAAATGAGGCTGATTTCCTCTCCTGATTCATGGAGCACAACACTGGACCCACCACAGGGACCAGGAGAATCCAGCTCACTGCAGATGGAGATGGTGTTTGTTGGTGGTGTTGAAGATGAGGAATAGATCCAAGAAGGAAGACCTGGCAGTTGAAGAAGTCATAAAAACTAGAAAAGCAGATGGTTCCAGCTGATATGAGAATCATGAATAAAAAACAAGCAAAGCATCCCTCAAATTAAAATATTTGCATTTAATGCCAAGCCCCAAAGAAGACAACAGATGAAGATGAAGAAAGCAAACAAGACTCAGTTGAAGAGAACTCACAAAACAAAGAAAGACAATACTTACATTTATAAACTCATGAGGTCTTGCACTCCAGACCCTGACAAGCAGCACTGATACTCAGATGGTGACTTCCCAGTGTGTCGAAGGAGGCCAGTGCAGCAGGTCCACACAGAGCTCCTGGTCTCTCTAAGAACAACACCTCCGCAGTCGCCACTCAAGCTCTTCCCTGAAGGTCACCGCCTTTCCTGTTTCTCACTTCCATTCCTATCTGAAAACTACACCTTTAGAAAATTAAATATATGTGATTCTTTTAAAGCTTATAGAACAATATGTACTGGAAGGACAGTCACAGGGACAGATGGCAACACATACCTGTGGTCCCAGAGTTCTGAAGACTAGGCAAGAGCAGGGTGACTTCTGGACCGAGATATATAGTCAATCTCTGTATCCAAAAACCCAAAACTTACCAAGTCATCTTGGATGCCTCAGGAAATTTCTTGTTTTAACAATAAAAGTCCAGCCCCTTACATTCCCCTCAAGTCCTAGGAAGGTCATGGCCAGTTTCCCTAGCAAGAAGGGAAGTTGGAGAGGTACATCTTCTGGGATTCTGTGAAAGTCAACACAGCACAAAACATGGGTGCCAGGATCTGGTGCTGGGGCTGAAGCTGACTTGGGGAGAGCCAGGGTTTAAGGACCAGAACTGTCACACAGAGGGCATTTTAGTGCTGTGTGGTTCCATGTGAAACTATTTACTAGCATGTCATTGATGGAAATCCTAAGCTGTACTACTGATGGGAGCAATTTCATTGCCTCATTTTCTGGTGGCTGTTGATTCCAAAACAATCACCTAAGAGAAATATGATGTAGGAAGTCCTTCTGTATATGTGTTGCTTCTATTGGTTAATGAATAAAGAAGTTGCTTAGGTCTATGAGAGGGCAGAATAAAGCTAGGTGGGAAAACTAAACTGAATGCTGGGAGAAAAGAGGCAGAGTCAAGGAGATGCCAGGTAGCTGCCAAAGGAGAAAGACACAAACTGTCAGACAGAACCTTACTGGTAGGCCACAAACCTCATGGTAAAATACAAAATAATAGAAATGGGTTAATTTAAGATGTAAGAGCTAGCCAATAAGAAGCTAGAGCTAGTAAGCCAATCAGTGATTTAATTAATATAGTTACTGTGTGATTATTTTGGGTGTGGGCAGGCAGGAAAAGAACAAGCAGCCTCCATTGACAGAAATAGAAATGCTCCCGGATAAACGGCACACACTGCAGCACTATTTGTCATGGTGCAAGTTGGAAGCAAACTCAGTGCTGAAGGGATGCGAACATGGTGAGCTGCAGAGTTGTCCCTCCATTAACAGGGATCACATCAAGTTGGCTGGTGAGATTCATCATCATGATCCTACCATTGTCAGCTTAACACCCAAGCACGTCACTTTAATTCGTAACTTTCCCCTTCGTGTTCCAAAGTTTTAGTTTTGTCTCCTAAATCAAAATGTGATCCAACTTCAAAGGTCTCCATAGTCCTTAATAATTCCAACAGTTTAAAGTCCAAAAGGTCTTCCTCTCGACAGCGACTCAAGGCAGCCTTAACTCTGAGCTCCCGTAAGATAGAAAACAACTTATAACATACATTGGTTATGTACAATAACAGACATGGCCATGTCAAAATAAAAGAATCAGGGCATACCAAGGACTGATTAGAAGACCACAGCAAGACCAAACTCCATCAGCATAAACACCAAATCCTGCAGTTCCATGTCCAGTTATGGAGATCATGATGTCATCCACTGTATTCCAAAGGACATAGATAATTCCCTTCCAGTTCTACCACTGGAAGCACACATATCCTCTCCTAGGGCCATTACTCTATTCCTTCCCTAAACCATTATTTAGCCAAAAAATGTGATTCTGGCATCTTCATTCCACCTTAGGTTACACTTTCAAAGGTCCATATGATGAGCTCTCATGATCCTTACAGGGTCTTTGATTCAGGCACATTTCCTGGCCTCAGCTACTATCTGAAACTGTACAGCATGATACCCATCAATCTAGCATTTTCATGGCTAAAAACTATAGGAATAGCTCTGCCAAGTCTTGTTGACAGCTTGAGATGTTCCCACCCTGGACCATAGCTGAATGGTGTGCTGACCATGGGGGACACCTCCTTGGGCATTTGCATTTGTGGAACAGGGAACACGATCACTTAAGGCTTTTTGCCTTTAAATGAAATTTGGATCTTCAAAAGATGAGCCTATGAAGAGTGAGATTTTATTCTCAGGACACCTTTTCTACTATCACTGTGATGCTGATTTCTAAAAATTATAGATGATTTTGTAGAATTATTCTGGATATTTTTCTGTCTTGAGACTTCTTCTGCCAAATTATTCCCTTATGTTTAAATTCATCTTCCCTTATATTCAGGACATTAACCCAATAAATTGCATGAATGGATCCTTTTACAGTTCCCAATAGAAACCTTGCTACTCTCTGCAACAGTGGACTGGCCTCCACTGTCTCTCTCAGCGTTCTTGTTTTCCTGCTTCCACCCAAATATCCCCATAAACTCTGCCCTCAGCATGGAAGGGCTTTCCTAGTACTAGGTACAAAACTCTTCTATATTCCAGCCACAAAACAGTTCCAAAGGCTTAAGAACCACGTGATTCTGTTTATACAGCAAAACCCTGAGTCCTGATACCAATTTTCTGTCCAGGTTACTTCACTTGTAACTCAACAAAATACTTGACCAAAGGAACTTTTAAAAAGATTATTTTCCTCACAGTCCAAAGGAACAGTCCATCATGACATGGAATTCTGAGAACATGGAGCATGTGACACCTGGTAACCTCTGTCAACAGAATGAGAAAGAACAGTGAAAGTTTATGCTCATGTGACCTTCTCCATTTTACACAGACCTGAGTCCTAGTTTGTGGAATGATGCCACATGCACAGTGGATAAGGCTTCCCTACTCCATCGATCCAATCAAGATAATATCTATCTTGCTCTGAGGCCTACATTCAAAATAATTCTAGAATTTAAGTCCACATTTGGCACTAATCATTAAAGGGATCCATCCAACCTGTATTCAGTGAACAAAGACATTTAGGTCTCTTTGATAGCAGAAAAACTCCATCCTGCAAATAAAAATTTATGGGAAACTGCCAATTCCAAGACCCTGAAGCTGGTGGCGGCAGCGCCTCAAAGAACCTGCTGATTGTCAGGTTTTTGAAAGTCGCCTCTGAGGCTGTGTAAGAACATCTGTGTACAGCATCTGTGGATGTGACCATCAAGAACTTCCACTCCACTGTGAATGTTCACAGCAGCTAGCCAAGGTCAAAAGTAAACTGCCTCCAATGAGGGGCAGTCTGCATGAGTCACCTCTGACAGCAGCTCACCTTTACCTCTCTGCCATAGTGAATTGATAATGAGGAAACAGTTCTGCTGTATTATAACTGGAAGTTAATTAATAAAATTTAAACTTTGGTTGTAATTTTTTCTTATAAACATCAAACTAAATGCAAACTAAATAGAAATCATAGCCAAAGCAACTTATAGAAGAAAAACTTTATTGGGGCTTACAGCTTCAGAGGGTGAGTCCATGACCATCATGGCAGGGAGCATGGCAGCAGCAGGCAGCTTGGTGCTGAAGCAGTAGCTGAGAGCTTACATCCTTATTGTCAATGAGGAGAGAGAAAGGAAATTAGAAAAATTACAAGCTTTTGAAACTTCTAAGCCCACCCCAGTGACACACCTCCTCCAGCAAGGCCACACCTCCTACTCCTTCCCAAACAGTTCCACCAACAATGGTGGCCATTCTCATTCAAACCACCACAGTCATTCTAAGTCCTCTGATGATAATTTTCCAGACAAATATGGCTCAATGGAAACACTAAATCTCCATCTTTGAATTTGTTCTTTCACAGAAGGTCAGGTGGACATCTCCTGGTTCCATGTAGCCCACTTTCAAGAATATGGGATGGTCCTAGAAACTCCAACCAGGGTGGAGCAGAACTACACAATCTTGGAAAACCCAAGCTTCTCCCCAGTGGGAGTTCTACTGAGGATCTACCTTACCATCAGGAGCCTCATCCCCATCACTCCCATCACATTGATCTACTATCACATCAATGTCGAGGAAGTCACCCTTCATCTCTACCTGGTCCCCAATGACTGCACCATTCGGAAGGTGACACTGATGTCCACAAAAGAGGGACCAGGGTGGGATGGCAAAAAACTTGAGATGTAGCAAATGAACCCCTTGGAGAGATTCTCAACTTGGAGTGTAATATGAGGGCCTGCTTGTTGGGGTTTTTGTTCTGCCCAGTTCCCACAGCCGTTTAGGTCCCAAAGAAATCACACAGAGAGTCTGCGTTAGTTATAAATTGATTGACCCATTACCTCAGGCTTCGTATTAGCTCTTATAACTTATATTAGCCTGTTCATCATTCTAGTATATGTTATCCACATGGCACAGTACATTTTTCAGCGGGGCAGGTCACATCCTGCTTCTTCGGTGTCTGGGCAGGACTGCGGAGGAATGAGCTTCCCTCTTCCCAGAATTCTTCTGTTCTCATTGTCTCACCTCTACTTCCTGTCTGGTTGTCCTTCCTATACTTACTGCCTTGCTACTGGAGAATCAGCATTTATTTAAAACATAATTGACAGAATATAGAATTGTCCCACACTTTGTAGTGGGAATATACTTCTGTAAAGAGAACACTAGTGATGATTCTACTCTCTTCTGGGTCCCTCACACAAGAGTCTCCCCCACCTGCCTCTAATGTTTCTTTATCTCTGCAAGGCCTTCTATGACCTCTTTCCACCCACCAGAAGGATGGGAATGCTCCACACCCAAGGAACTCCCTTCTTCTCTGGCAGGGACCCTGTCCCACAATGAACATGACAGATGCCAATAATTGAACAGACTGTGTAACAGAACACAAGTCTGAAGGGTGCCCAGCAGGTGTTACCACCCCACTCCACACCAATTTACTGATCGACCACCTCACCTTATTCAGACCAGAGAGATGTGTAGCCCAGAAAGCTAGCTAAATCACTGTCTGCAATGTTCCCTAGGCCATTGATGATGAAGAAATGAAGTTTCAGTTTGTTCGAATAAACAAGCCACCCCCACTAGGTTATCTTTACATTGGCTCCCGCTACACAGTGTCTGCTTCCAAGAAGCTGGAAATCATCCCTGAGGTGAGCATCCAGGAGTTTGCTACTCTTCAGGATCAGATGCCAGACTTGGGAACCCTGTGGGACAGGTTACAGGGCTTTGCGATAAACTGAGATTGAGGAGAAAATAATTGGGGCTTAGGAAGAGGAGGAATACATCGACATTAGGTAGAAAGCAGTTTAAGGGGTCACACAGAAAAACAGAAGGCCTGGAGAATCGAGGAATTAAATTCAATATGGCATGGAGAAGAGACCTGCCTAACATGGACAGCAAGTCCTGGCTTAAGATGTGTGAGCAGGACTTTCAGAATGAGCTCTCACTTGTTATGGTTTGAATCTTAAAAATCTCCTACAGGTACAAATGTTAAACACTTGACCCCCCGTTATTGCTAATATTTGGGGAGTCGTGAAACAAATTTGTGAGGCCTGACCATCAGAAGCAGGCCACTAATGGCTGTCCTTGAGGGTTACAGCCATGCCTTTCTCCCCACCTCAGACTTAGATTGCAGATCCTCTGGATATAACAAGCTGTGCCACAAGCTCCTGCCACCAAGACTAGAGCCCCGGCTTCCATGCTTTCCCCACTATAAAACTAAACAACATCAGCCCTTCCTTAAGTTGCTTCCTGTCATGTTTTTGTCAGAGTGATGAGAACAGAATCAGCAGGATGGGGGTCCCAGCTGGGTCCTCAACCTTCTGAGTAAAGACGTGTATGCAAAGGCTGTGGGTTACCTCAGTGTGAAAGATAACCAGTGTCTAATGTGGTGAGCAAGATCGTGAAAGTATGGGGGTGGGGACAGCCCGCCTTCATCCCTTCCACAGGATGAGTAGTTGATCCTCACACAGTAATTCTTTCTCTCTCCAGGAACTGGAGCTGTGTTACCGGAGCCCCGGGGAATCCCAGCTCTTCTCCGAGATCTATGTTGGCCACATGGATTCAGGGATTAAGCTGCAAATCATAGACAAGAAGAGTAGCAATCTCATATGGGAAGCCTTGCTGAAACCAGGTAAAATCTGTTTAGGTCCAGATACCCAAAGGGCAGAAGAAAGGCAACTAATGCTAGGTGTCATGAAATGACCAGATTAGTTGTGTGGCTTTTGCTAGATCCAAAACAGAGGGTCTGACCACAGATTAATCTATGATGCTGTGTTAGTCAGAAATTCCCAATTTTGACAAAATGTGTGAGAAAAACAACTTACAAATAGAAAGTTTTGCTTTGATTCATGGTCTTAGAAATAAGTTTCAGTCCATAATAAGCTGCGTCCATCTTTTTGCGTCTAATGTGAAACAGGATATCATGGATAGGGAGCTTGTGAGAGAAGAGGCTGTTTATCTGGGACCTCTGAAGCGGAGAGGTGGCAGAGAGCAGGAGTTAAGATTAAGAACCAAGGAGGAAAAGGGGAAGAGGAGGAGAGGAGAGAAGAGGGGAGGAGAGGGGAGGGAAGGGAAGGAGAAGGAGAAGAGGCAAGAAAGAATGAAGTCCATGCAAATATTCTCTTCCAGGTCATGCCTCTAGAGACCTACTTCTTCCAATGTACACTCTTTTTTTTCTGCAATAATTTTTTGTAATTTTATTTATTAAAAATTTCCACCTCCTCCCATCTCCCTATTTTCCTCCCACTCCCCCCACTCCTCCTCCACCTTCCCTACCTCTCCAGTCCTAAGAGAAGTCAGGGTGCCCTGCCCTGTGAGAAGTCCAAGGCCCTCCCGCCTCCATCCAGGTCTAGGAAGGTGTGCATCCAAACAGACTAGGCTCCCAAAAAGCCAGTCCATGCAGTAGAATCAAAACCCAGTGTCATTATCATATGCTCCTCAGTCCGCCCTCATTGTCAGCCACATACAGAGAGTCCGGTTTGATCACATGCTCCATCAGTCCCAGTCCAGCTGGCCTTGGTGAGCTCCCATTAGATCAGCCACACCATCTCAGTGGGTGGACGAACCCCTCACGGTCCTGACTTCCTTGCTCATGTTCTCCCTTCTCCTGCTCTTCATCTGACCTTAAGAGCTCAGTCCAGTGCTCCAATGTGGGTCTCTGTCTCTATCTCCATCCATCGCCAGATGAAGGTTCTATGGTGATATGCAAGGTATTCATCAGTGTGGCTATGGAAGAAGGCCAGTTCAGGCACCCTTTCCTCAGCTGCCCAAGGACCTAGCTGGGGAAATCCCCTTAGACACCTGGGAACCCCTCTAGAGCCAAGTCTCTTGCCAACCCTAAAATGGCTCCCTTAGTTAAGATATCTTCTTCCCTGCTCCCATATTGACGCTTCCTCCATCTCAACCATCCCATTCCCCCAAGCGCTCCCTAATTCTCCCCTTCTCCCTTCTCTCTCCTCATCTCCCCTTCCCCTTCAACCTCCCCCACCCCAGTGCTCCCAACTTTTGCCTGGCGAACTTGTCTACTTCCAATATCCAGGAGGATAAATATATGTTTTTCTTTGGGTTCACCTTCTTATTTAGCTTCTCTAGGATCACAAATTATAGGCTAAATGTCCTTTCTTTATGGCTAGAATCCACTTATGAGTGAGTACATACAATATTCCTCTTTTTGGGTCTGGGTTATCTCACTCAGTAAAGTGTTCTCTATTTCCATCCATTTGCATGCAAAATTCAAGATGTCATTGTTTTTTGCAGCTGAGAAGAACTCTAACGTGTATATGTGTGACGCTTTCTTTATCCGTTCTTCTATTGAGGGGCACCTAGGTTGTTTCCAGGTTCTGGCTATTACAAATAGTGCTGCTATGAACATAGTTGAACAAATGCTTTTGTAGTATGATTGGGCATCTCTTGGATATATTCCCAAGAGTGGTATTGCTGGATCCTAGGGTAGGTTGACTCCCAGTTTCCTGAGAAACCAGCACATTGATTAACAAAGTAGTTGCACAAGTTTGCATTCACACCAGCAATGGATGAGTGTTCCCCTCGCTTCACATCCTCTCCAGCATAGGCGATCATTGGTGTTTTTGATTTTAGCTATTCTGACAAGTGTAAGATAGTATCTCAAAGTTGTTTTGATTTGCATTTCCCTGTTCGCTAAGGAGGCTGAACATGACCTTAAGTGTCTTTTGGCCATTTGGACTTCTTCTGTTGAGAATTCTCTGTTCAGTTCAGTACACCATTTTTTAATTGGGTTAATTAGAGTTTTAATGTCTAGTTTCTTGAGTTCTTTATATATTTTGGAGATCGGACCTTTGCCTTATGTGGGGTTGGTGAATATCTTCTCCCATTCAGTAGGTTGCCTTTTTGTCTTAATGACAGTGTCCTTTTCATTACAGAAGCTTCTCAGTTTCAGGAGGTCCCACCTATTCATTGTTGCTCTTATTGTCTGTGCTACTGGGGTTCTACTTAGGAAGTGGTCTCCTGTGCCTATGTATTGAAGGCTACTTCCCACTTTCTGTTCTAACAGGTTCAGTGTGGTCAGATTAATACTGAGGTCTTTAATCCATTTGGACTTGAGTTTTGTGCATGGTGACAGATATGGATCTATTTTCATTCTTCTACAGGTTGACATCCAGTTATGCCAGCACCATTTGTTAAAGAAGCTTTCTTTCTTCCATTGTATAATTTTAGCTCCTTTGTCGAAAATCAGGTGTTCATAGGTTTGTGGATTAATATCCGGGTCATTGATTCGATTCCATTTGTCAATATCTCTGTTTTTGTGCCAATACCAAGCTGTTTTTATTACTATAGCTCTGTAATAGAGTTTGAAGTCAGGGATGGTAATGCCTCCGGAAGTACTTTTATTGTATAGGATTGTTTTGGATATCCTGGGTTTTTTTGTTTTGCCATATAAAGTTGATTATTGTTCTCTCAAGGTCTGTAAAGAATTTTGTTGGGATTTTGATGGGGATTGCATTGAATCTATAGATTGCTTTTGGTAGAATTGCCATTTTTACTATGTTGATCTTCCCAATCCAAGAGCATGGGAGATCCTTCCATTTTCTGGTATCCTCTTCAATTTCTTTCTTCAAAGACTAAAGTTCTTGTCAAATAGATCTTTCACTTCCTTGGTTAGAGTTACCCCAAGATACTTTATGCTATATGTGGTCATCGTGAAAGGTGATATTTCTCTGATTTCCCTCTCTGCTTCTTTTTTCTTTGTGTATAGGAGGACAACTGATTTTTTGGAGTTGATCTTGTATCCTGCCACATTATTAAAGGTATTTATAAGCTGTAGGAGTTCGTTGGTAGAGTTTTTGGGGTCACTTATATACACTATCATATCATCTGCAAATAGCGAAAGTTTGACTTCTTTCTTTTCAATTCGAATCCCCTTGATCTCCTTATGTTGTCTTGTTGCTATTGCTAGAACTTTAAGCACTATACTGAAGAGGGATGGAGAGAGTGGACAATTTTGTCTTGTTCCTGATTTGAGTGGAATGGCTTTGAGTTTCTCTCCATTTAATTTGATGTTAGCTGTCGGCTTGCTGTATATAGCTTTTATTATATTTAGGAATGAACCTTGTATCCCTAATCTCTCCAAGACCTTTATCATAAAGTGGTGTTGAAATTTGTCAAATGCTTTTTTTGGCATCTAATGAAATGATCATATGGTTTTTTTTCTTTCAATTTATTTATATGATGGATTACATTGATAGATTTGCGTATGTTGAACCAGCCATGCATCTCTGGGATAAAGCCTTCTTGATCTTAATGTATAATTTTTTTTGATGTGTTCTTGGATTCAGTTTGCCAATATTTTATTGAGAATTTTTGCATTGATGTTCATGAGTGAGATTGGTCTGTAATTCTCTTTCTTGGTTAGTCTTTGTGTGGTTTTGGTATCAGGGTAACTAGCTTCATAAAAGGAGTTTCGAAATGACTCTTCTGTTTCTATTTTGTGAAACACATTAAGGATTATAGGTATTGGCTCTTCTTGGAAGTTCTGATAGAATTCTGCATTGAAACCATCTGGTTCAGGGCTTTTATTTTTTTGGTAGGTAGGCTTCTGATGACAGCTTCTAATTCCTCACAACTTACAGGTCTATTTAAATTATTCACCTGGTCTTGATTTAATTTTGGTATATGATACTTATATAAAAAATGTCCATTTCTTTTACATTTTCCAATTTTGTGGCATACAGGCTTTTGTCATAAGATCTAATGATTCTTCGAATTTCCTCTGTGTCTGTGGTTATGCCCCCCTTTTCATTTCTGATCTTGTTAATTTGCATATTCTTTTTCTGCTGTTTGATTAGTTTGGATAGGGGTTTGTCAATCTTGTTGATTTTCTCCAAGAATCAGCTTTTTTGTTTCATTGATTCTTTGGATTGTTTTCTGTGTTTCTATTTTGTTGATTTCAGCCCTCTGTTTGATTGTTTCCAGTCTTCTACTCCTCCTGGGTGCATCTGCTTCTTTTTTTTCTAGAGCTTTCAGCTGTGCTGTTAAGTCTCTAATGTATGCTTTCTCCGTTTCCTTTATGTGGGCACTTAGTGCTATGAACTTTCCTCTTAGCACTGCTTTCATAGTGTCCCATAGGTTTGGGTATGTTGTGTCTTTATTTTCATTGAATTCAAGGAAGACTTTAATTTCTTTCTTTATTTCTTCCTTGACCCAGGGGTGGTTTAGTACTTGATTGTTCAGTTTCAATGAGTCTGTAGGCTTTCTGGGGTTAGAATTGTTGTTGAATTCTAACTTATTCCATGGTGAACTGATAGTACACAGGTGATTACTACAATTTCTTTGTATCTATGATGTTTGCTTTGTTACCAATTATGTGATCAATTTTTAGAAGGTTCCATGAGATACTGAGAAGATGGTATTTTCTTTTCTGTTTGGGTTAAATGTTCTATAGATGTCTGTTAAGTCCATTTGGTTCATTACATCTGTTAGTTCTCTTATTTCTGTTAAGTTTCTGTCTGGTTTACGTGTCCATTGGTGAGAAAGGAGTGTTGAATCTCCTACTATTAGAGCGTGGGGTTTGATGTATGCTATGAGTTCTAGTAATGTTTCTTTTACATATGTGGGTGCTTTTATATTAGGGGCATAAATATTCAGGATTGAGACTTC